AGGGCCATGACCCACAAGGCGAGCATGCCACCTACGAAAAGCTATATCAGATTTAGGCCAAGTGCGAATACCTCTTTCGCGAAGTGGCCCCAGCGGTAGAGAGTTTAGAAAAGGAGGGCCATGAGTGCAAGGAAACAGCTGACCCACCGCCGCCTGTTCAACTACCTCCGCATTGTTAAAGAAACGACCCAAGTAAAACTCATTACGTCCAACGTCGGCAGGCGCGAGAAAACTTGGGGTTATGTATGGGCGACTCAGAAGTTTCTGAAAGTCATCAAAACTAAAGGAATCACTAGTTTGAGATTGTGAAGCAGCCATTGGAGGATGAACGAAGCTTTTCGGGGTTACGTAACAAGGAAGCAAAAGATGAACAGTGAATCGTGAAAGAGATGCAGAAAATATGAGGCGTGGTTTGGTAGCAGTGAAATGGCGTGTTTGGGGTTTATAAGGGTTTGCAAAACGATGCACTTTTTCAAGTTATAGAAGGAAACAATGATTGAAATTCTTGGGAGTTTCGAACGTCGCCTGGAACATGAAGTGAATATGGCAAAATTCAATAATTATTATTAATTCTGCCATATTGGGGGGTAATTGTTGACACATAAAAATTCAGCCCAAGTCGAACAGCCCAAGGAGTAAAGCCCAATTGGAGAACCCCCAAATCGGATGGCCCAAAGAACGAAATCCAATCGAACGAGTCAAGGTGAAGGCCCAAACAAGGGGCCCAAGAATGCGGTAACGCCATCGCCCAAATTTGTAAGTCGCCCAGAATCTGAATGAATGGAGTGTCATACGGTCGCTTAGAGCTGTTATTCTACTCTCGCCCAAACCTTCAAGTCGCCCAAGGTATCAACAAACATAACGCATCGTGGTTATCAAAGAATGCAGTTATCAAGGCAGTTGTTAAAGTAGCCTTATCACGTTTCACAATTCAAGGAATTCAATCGAAAGCGGTTGAACGATGAAAGATAATGGCAGCAGTTAAGAGGCAGTTTCATGACAAAATGGCCACTACAAAGAAAGTGGGTAGTTATAGGACGATCAAACAGTTTTCAGAGTAGTTAATCACAAAGAGATCGTCTATGAGGTATAAAAGGGAGAAAGGACGCATAAGCAAAGGACCGAATCCAAAACTCTCGAACAGAGAATATGTAATTTTCATTTCCTTAGCTTTTAGATTTAAACATTTTTCTTTCTATAACTCGTGTGCTTGCACCCCTTGGAGGCACGTTGTTTTTCATCCCCAATTGTAAAGTTCATCGCCAATAAAAGAACCCCCCTTTTTGGGACTTTGTCTCAAGAGGTTTCGTCCCTTACACAATCGTCTGACCCTTTTTAATTGTTAGCGACTTAACCCGCACGAAACAATGTGAACCGTAGATGGCATAGCTAGTAGTGGCAACACCGCCCGTGAGTGTACCAATGTTGCCATACTTGAGAAAGTTCCAAGAGCGGGAGGCGGTTGTGTATGAACATTCGGAGGCGGAGCATTGAGGAGTCTGGAGGAGGAGATGTTTGATTCTTTCTCAAGGAAAATCGATTGTAATTTGATAACGGTTTCTGTGTAACACGATTCATTTGTCTCAAATTTGTGTAATTCATTATTCCCATTTTGCCATCCATTTTCAATTACAACAAATTTTTGTTTCTTCTATATCGTTTTTGTTATCCTTTTATAATTAATTGATTTGAATTTATTTATAATTATTTTAATGTGATAGTTATTTTTATTTAATGTTTATTTTTAAATTCCAATAAAGTAATAAGTATTGATACAATTATTTTTTTGTGCATTCAGTGTAAATTTTTTAATTGTGGTGTTCTGTTTAATATTTTTCTTAATTTATTAACAAATGCAATATTTTAGTTCATTAAATATTAATATAACGATTTTAGTAATCACTAGTTAGAGTGGAACGTGCATTGCATGTTATTTTGAAATATTTTATAAATACTGTAAGGGTAGCATTTGATACCAATTTATTGGGAGAATTTGATCAATCTTGAATGAACTAAAGAAAATAAAATTTAGGAGAAAATTAAGAGAAGAAAATTTTACTATCAAATCTCAACTTCTATGATTCAATTTTTTTGTAATGATGAAATACTACAAATGAGCAACTTTTTATATTAAATTTCACACATAAGAATTAATTGCTAGTATATGAATTTAAACTCCCATTAAAATTCCTAGATACATGAATAGAGATAAATTTATCTATAATAACTCTAGATTCATGTATATCAAGATTAATCAAGTCAAAATTGATTGAGTCTAGATTAATGTGAATGTTAAGTAATTGAAAACTAATAACACGAAATTCATATATGATAAGAACTTTATAGTATTTACTACATCTAGAAAAACGAAAAGTAAGATATTATTTTAAATAATTGAATTATAGTAGGGTTAAACTCGTCTAAAAAATGATTCTCATTTAATGTGATATTTACTATATTATAGATATAGATATACTTTGTAATTAAATAATTTAAAATAAATTGATTGTTTAGAAATAAATAATAAGGACATATAGCAAATATTATTCATTTGGTGTAATCATTGAAGTTCGCCAAATTGTAACAACAAATTTGATGTAACAATTGAAGATACCTTAAATCCTCCATTGCTTCCTAAGTTTTGGATTGAAGATAGCTTAAATCCTCCAATGCTTCCTAAGTTTTGGATCCACTAGGACCAGGTACATCTTACTTCTTTAAGGGGTTATTCTACTTGGACAGGCTCCTATCCAAACAGGGGACATGTGGCGGCCCCTATTGGCGTGATTAATAAGACTTTTTCTTAAGGGAAGCATTGTCCAAGCCGCCAAACACGTCCATATCTTTATTTGTAACAGCTTCCTCTGATTTTTCTGCTATTTGCTATTTTGTCCCCAATTTTTCGTAATTTGAAAACTAGTCCCTAAAATTTCCAGAATATTCCTTGTATTTTTTACATCGTGCCTTGCAAATTAGTCCCTTCCACAATCCGCAAATCAGTCCTCAAGTTTCCACAATCTTTCTATAATAATGGTTTCCGTCTAAGAAGCCATCGGGAGGGCCATCATATTCTTCATAAATAAGTGCGACATAATATTTCTTATTCACACTTCAAAGCATACAAACAAAATATTGTGACATAAACTACTTTCAAGAATGAGATGTGTTAAATAATAAAACGATGAAGATAATAATTTGACAAAAGAAGTTAAGAACATAAATATTACAATGAAAATTTAACATAATTAACATATTGAAATAGAATCTCGCTTTTACCTAATAAATTTAAAAAGCACACGAATTCTTGATTCGTTAGTTTACAGGCAAAGATTCGTTCAACTAAGCAATGGGCGTGGACGGTCTAGAAGAATCCATTGTAAGTGTGAAGTCAAATGATTGATAATTTGAGCAAAGGAGTTGCTAGGCTATCAATATCAACTTATAGGTGTTTCTGCCAATCATCGGAGGCCAAATTTTAGATTTCTGCAGGCTAATATAGGAAAATGTTAAGGTAAGGTGACATTATCCAACATATATAAAGGCCCCAGCGAGACTTTGGTGAATTATCGGAAAATATTCGTATTTTGATCCGAACTTTATCATAAATTTGCAAAAATTAAAAAAATATATATGTAGTGTTTTAAAACCAACCTCGATCCAGGTTCAAAGGACTCGGTCACTTATTTTTATTTTTTAAAATCAAATGTAGAATTACAATAAGTGAATGAGTTTTGATACTCAAAACAGCCGATGCCCTCTCCAATAGGAGACGCCAAATAGGTGCCCTATCACGGCCTATCATAGCAGCATAGCCCTAACCAAATAGTTAAGGTAATGATGCAAATCCTGTGCCATACATCCGTGGGCCATCTATGTAGTACAAAACTCTATAGCCAATTAAAGGGACATTTGATATTAATTACTCTAATTAATTTGGGTATTCGTCATATCTCTTTCAAATTAGAGGTATTCTTAACGTGTGAAATTGATAGATATATGAAAATGATCTCCTAAACACCAGTGACATGACAAATCATTTGATTGGTAAATGAGTTAATGGTAAGTCCTATGTATTTAATGATTTACTAATTAAATGATGTACCATGTCACCGGTGCTCACACACACACACACACACACACAAACACACACGAGACGTGCCATTCGCAACTAAACCAACTACACATATGTGATAGATTTTTTTAGCACTAACAACATTTTTGGAGACAACTTCGAGACTATCGATAACATCACATGTTGAAATGATCTAAAATTTTAAATTTTTAGATCAAGGGCTGAGGACACCTTTCACAGGCTCTGTCCGTGTAGCATGTTTCTTATAAGTTGTGCCGTGTTGGATCGAGTAAGTCACTGTGTTCAATGCATTTAATTTAAAAGGTAAACACAAAATACAAATGAAAAAAATAAAATAAAAAAATGAATGATATTATTACGTAGCGTTAATTAGTGTTTGACAACTTCATGTACTTAGAGAGGCATATTATTAATGTTATTCACTCCCATTTTTTAAAATACGAATTTTCTTAAATTTAATTTTTAATTACATATTTATTATTATTAATAAAATAATTTTGTACGTAAATTCATAATCCTTTCATACTCTTTAATCAAACATTCTCAAAAAGTCTCTACCAAACAAGGATGCGCTGTTTGAGCATATAGCGTTATTCATTTAAGTTGGTAGACAAGAAGACTACACAAACCAGTAATGTGGGGTTGGTTTGGACACGTTGACACATGAAAATCCTAAGTAAAGGTCAAACAGTACTCTTCCACATGGCAACCTTGTACACCCACAAAACTCCCACTGGAGTAGTTAAATGCCTTAATCTCCTCACATTTGGCATTTCTTGGCAGCCATGAAAATGGAAACTTCTGCTAATCCACTAATTTTTTTATTTAAGGTTAATTCTGTCATAACACAAGAATCCTATGTGTAAGAAGCATCCTTCACCCCCTATATAAAGAAATCTTCTATCATTCAGTCTGATACACCAACTCTCTGCTTCCCTTCCCTTGAAAATGGAGTATAAAAATTTTAGGAAAATGATGAGTAAATTTTTGGCAGCACAAAGCACGATTATACTCTCTCTATCAGTAGTTTCCTTAATCTTTTCGAATTCAGATTGCTTTTTTGCTTGTTTGAGTTCTTTGAAGTTGTACTTCTCTACATATCCATTCCATCTCCTGGGCCTTGCCTTAAACAAAAACTGCATATTTCTCATTTGCAATGGGCTGGTGATGTTTTTTGCAAAAACCTCTGGCGGCTCGATTCATCCTTCCTCTGGTTCTGATGTTAACGAGTTAGTGCATAAAATGATTGGCGATAGTTTGCAGCCATCTCTCGAGACAAAAGGACCCACCTTGTTGATCAAAGATGCGATGGACGTAGATTGTACCGATAATGAAGAAAACGAAGAACTAGAGGAAGAAAATGAAGCAGAAGCGTCAGAAGAAGAAGAAGAAGAAGAAGTGGATGAACGCTCTTATGAAGATGAAAAGAAACTCACAAACTCGGTTATGGAAGATTCAGAAGGCGACGGCCATGGTGACGAAGGAGGGGAAAACGAGTCCGAAATTGGGTTGTTCTTTGAAGAAGAAGAAGAAAGCATGGAGCTGTTGAGTACAGAAGAGTTGAATAAGAAGTTTGAAGATTTCATACTGAAGATGAAGGAAGATGTCAGGATGGGAAGCTCGACACCAACTAATATTGGTCAAGTACATTATAATTATGATATTAATTTGTATGACAAGAATTGGCCTATCATAACAGTCAATTAATTTCTTTTCTTTGGTAGAAAACTATTAGGCTTCTGAAATTTCTTAGTTTTTTTATGGCCAATGTATTAATTCTATGTTGGATTAATTACATTAACCTGATATATAGATTGGGAGTTTGATTCAGACGAAAAGCCCTATGAAAACTTCACGCGATGCATGATGTCCACAACAAGGATGGGGTCACACGAGACGTAGTAGCTAGGTTACTATTTAATTTCTTGTGCTTCTCGTCTACAAAGGGGATGATGCTCTCTTTTACACTTTTATTGGAGCGTAGGCTAATCCGTCTAAGTTTATACTAATTTTTTGGTAAAATGTCACCTCCAGTGATTTAAAAAATGTGGAACTATAGTTGTAAATACATTTTTATAGAATTTTTTTAACTGCATTTAATATTTACTAAACATTTAACTCTCTTAATAATGTCACTTAAAAATATATTAAAGTTTTTATGGGAAAAGCGCAAGAGTATCTTAATAATATTTTGTGTACATAAAATTTTACGTTGTGTAAAAGGTCAAAACTAGCATAGTGAGATTATTAGGACATCTCCAATGAAAATCCCAAGATGGTGCAACACCACCAAAATGATGTAGAAGTATGGTACAAAGCTCCTCCAATCATGCACCATCAAAGGAAATGCTATCTATTTTGCCGTTCATTTTGTTATAGAACAAAATTTTCGTCCCTTGGTGTCCCTAGCCTTAATTTAGCCCATATTTGACAATTATTATTTGAAAACTCTTTTTTTATATACTCATTTTTAACAACACATTCACACAATAAAATATTCTTTAGGTAATCCAAAACTTTTATCAAATTTTTAACTACACATTTTCCTAAAGATTACAATTCGAAACATTGTTTCTGCCAAATAATGATTATCAAATGGTGGCATCATCATCATCATCATCAATAATTATAATGGAATGAACTAAAATAAAAGTATTTCATAAATTTAAAAAGGTCACAAATATGATTATTCAAAATTAAGATGAAAATGTCACAATAGTCACATAAATACTAAACACTAGAATTATTTAAGGAAAATGATACATAAAATAAGACAATAACTTAGTAATTTGGCAGATTACTTTTGGATCCGCCAATTGTTAATAACTAATTTTTTTTTTTTTAAAAAATGATGATACATTGTTCATTTGGTGCAATTTTTGGTGTTTGGATTGGAGATAATTTTCAGTTTAGTGCAAGATTTGCACCAAAAAGATGCAAAATTGATCTAAATTTTAGTGCAATATTTGGAGATGACCTTAGTTTCTTGATTAAGCGTTTACTTACACGTGTGACTTCACGTATCGTTTGATTGTAACTTGTTGCATTCTATGAATGTTGAAAAGTTTAAAATAGTCGGGTTTCTCAATGATTCAATGTTGGGTACACACTGATTTTTATGTATTGAGAAAAGGAAATATAGGACCCAACAAAAAACGACTAAATCAATGAGTTATATGGTCAATGACATTCAGACAAACACGTTCTATTTTGGCATGATACATGAACTTCAAGCAGAAGACATGGTTAAGTAAAGCTTCTTTTGTCTTTACTATTCGAAGGGCATGAAATATATTTGTTCCCGTCTGTGTCACTAGTTAAGCATTGGAAGATCATCGATGTTCAAATAAAAATTTGTCCATTGTTAGCTTCAAACTCGAGAAAGCTCCCACTAACATGTTACTTTTATTCAATGCCTTGTTAGAATTCAAATTTAATAAGAGATTTTGATGCTTACTAAACAATTTGAGATAAGTATGAAATTTACGAGATTATGACCATTTTTTATTTTTATTTATTTATTTATTTTTTAAATTATAGAAGCTTGTGTAAGGTGACAATGAAATCCCGTGTGCGTCTTATTATGATAGGCGAAGCTCTATCAAGAATTAATTAATGGGACCCTTCTTCCAAGTCTAGTCAATCAAATAATGAATCCAAAACCCTAATGCTGATCCACATATTTGGTGGCATTAAATGAAGATTGGAAAGATCTAGAATAACCCCCTCATGTATGATTAGAACAAAAAGGGAAAATGCATTTTTTTTTAAAAGAAAAAATGTAAAATTCAATTAAACAAGGTGGAAGCCTTATGATTTAGGTGGATTTAGGTTCAGTGTCCGTTTGATTCTTTAGTTAAAGTTAATGATGTCATAACTTAACTGACCTCACTTTTAGCCCCTTTGAAAGTATAGAAAGTTGTTTGAAGTTTCGGAATGAAATCCCCATCAAAATATGAACTTATAAGTTTTTAGATATTCAATAACATTATAATCTTATGTTTTCGATGAATCCTTTATGCATCACTCAACCTTTCATTCTAGCGACTCTTTATCGAAGAACTCAAAAACCCTTCTAACTTTTCACTTTTGGAACTCTGAAGTTACTCACTCGTTCAAACCTTTCTCCCATCTAAAATCCTTGAGAGTATCATATTTAACGTTGCCAAAAACTTGACACTTGATTTTTAAGAATTTCATCGCATTTCACGCTTTGTTATGTGCTGTTATTACATGTTTCATGTACAATATTGAACATATCTTTAATATTGTTTAGACTATTTCTTTATCAAACATTAAATTTTACAGAAGATGGTAGTGCAATCATTTGGTTGGACGACATAAATCAAAACTATTAACATATATGTTTGTACTATAAATGGATAGCCTTGATTTGAAGACAGAATTACAATCATTTGGTTGAATGATCAACACCCAAAATGATAATTTAAGTTTATTAAATCCTGACCAAATGTGAATTCAAACGTTAATTATTAGATTGGTTATTTGTGATAGTTTAATTGGTTCAGACAAGCCAGATTGGATGATTTTAAGATGGGGAAATGGTGATTAATTTGGAATTGAACATCCGCCCCTTTAATGCATTGATGACAATGCAATTAATTTGAGCACCACGTTTGACTGCAAGAATTTATTTGAAAGGGAAATGATAATGTTTTTCTGCTTTTGAAAACGATCCACTTTTATATCCACATCACCGGAGAAGAAAAAAATTTTAGCCACAAGAATTAATAATTAACAAGAATTTTATAGGTGAAGTCAAACATTTATATTGGTATCTATAGGACTGACCAGACCATAAACATCTTTTCATGGTTAAGAAAAAAATGTAGTGTAAATTTTCCGGTTTTAGCGTTGCGTGTTCTATTTCTTCAAGTAAAATTGTCAATTATTTTGACTATATATTATTAAGTTGCGAAACTTAATTATTGTCATTATGTGGAGTTCCATCAAAATTTCATTTAGGCTATTTTACGAATTTTAAGCTTGTAATTTCATCTTTACCCTAATTTTTTTAATATAAATATTGAGCTGTGCCTGTCATTAGGGTTTTAAATAAAATAGGGTATTAGAGTTTTTTATTGTAAACATTTTTTTTTTCATCATAGTGAATTATTACAATAGTGGAGAAATAGTCTTATATTAAAACGAATATCTATAAATCTTTCACATTCTTCTGTGCATATTTCGTTATTGGGATTTTATTGCTTTTGGTAATATAGAAATATGATTTCTAATTCTCAAACATATATTTATTTGTGTAAGTTCATGCAAATTGATTAATTTAATCAAGAGATTTTAAAATGAATTAAAATTTAGTTTTTTAGTAGAAATAATATAACAATCACATAATAAACTTTAGACGCAACTATATGTTGCGAGAGACAATTCTGATTGGTTTAAAAGCGATTTCAATATTATTTTGTTGCTTTGACAAAAAAGATGTAGATAAATATCAAATATTAATTTCAATATCTCATTAACAACTATTACACACTCATATTTTGTGGGACTCACTACCCATTTTCATTATAATTCTCCTAAACAAAAGATTTTTGCTTAAAGAGTTTTATTGATTGTAACATATATTTTTTGTTCTATATCATGTTTTAAACTTTTGAATATGATTACATCACTTTTCTTGAAATGAAGTTAATTTCTTTTGAGTTCATGATTGCATCAACAAAAATTCAAATCCCAACAACCTCTAAAAAGGTAAATAAGAATTTCTAAATAAATATCAGATTTTGATGAGTACACTGTCCTTAATTTAATGCAAAATCCAATGAACACTATATCGGGAAAACTAATATTCAGATGAACATTCGAACAATCAAATCTTGCAATTGCGATGATTCCAATATTTTGTAATGTATGTCTTCGCCCTTTCAAAAATAAAAGGCTTGAGCCCTACTCAAATAATAGGATTTCGAGTTAGAAATTAATAGTTTTCACCCTATATTTTTCTAGCTTAAAACAAGAAAATAACGATACATCTGACGTACAGTTCTCAATAAAATTATATAATTAAAAGAATAATAATTTCTTATTGTGCATATAATGAAAACATACCTAGGCAGAGACAGAGATGGGTGATAATAACTTGATCCGTGGAAAGGATATACAGATTGTCTCGGGTAATAATATAGTAAAGTCTGTGGATACCGGTACAGGTCATCAATTGCTCCATAGTTGTATCCATGTCCATAATTGTACTGACCAGAGTAACCTCTACTTAATTCTGGGTGTTTCAGCTTGACCCATTTCAACTTTGCATGGTACCCGAGTATGTTCGGGTCGATCAACTCGGAAATTCTTGCAGTTCCTTCTTCGGCATCTATGGTGACAGAATATATGTTGGGAAGTTATCATCACTAAGGAGTTGGAGAAGAAACACAAAAATATGAACCATTAACACAATCACCAAATTTGGAACAAGATCAACAAAACCAGAAAATTAGCAACACAAAATTTACAACAAAGAAGACTTGAACACGATATCGCTGTCTTCAAACGATATTTGCCACCTCTCCTTTGATTGGGATGCTTCAAGGGATCTTCGACAAATGGTTTGTAGGATTATAACAAGCCTTGTAAAAGATTAAACACCAAAGCACAATTGTAATCTCCTAAAACTTGAAGAACACAATGAGGGAAATAAAGAATATGGAAGAAAGGACGTTTAATCCTTTGTGGAATGAAGAAAATATGATCACAATTGTTTCTCATATGTTTTCGATGTTTGTATTGATCCTTCCATCACCTATTTATAGATTTGGATCAATATCC